CTCTTGTTACTGAATAATTGGTCCACGGTCACCAATTCTAGCGACTCTCCCAGATGAAAACCTCCTTAGACACACACCAACGCTACATACAGGCTTTTTGTTACGTGTGTAATAAACCAGTACAATTAGAGATACATTCACTTTGACCACTATGCAATTTTATTTTACCTTTTCGGATCAAAAGCTTCTCCACCTCTGGAACCTCCTCCAGGTGTTCTCCACGCCAGGCGTTCAATGTATTCATCCGCCACAAAAGGCTCCTAGCCACAGAATAAAAATGCCTTACAATGTGCCACAGCGGGTTGTTCCTTAAGCAGGTGCTGCTACTTCATTCTGAAAGTGTTTAGAAGCTTTACTACCATCAAGAGCAAGCACAGTGCTGACAGTGTTGACAATTACCCCATCACCTCTTATGTTTATATGTTTAATATGGAGAATACTGTTCTTAATAGAGTGGGTTTGAACATCTAGAGATTGCCACACTACCAGCAAAGAATCTGCTGCAGGTCTGATGGCTTGGCTCTTAATCACCTGTCCTTACGGCTTGTCATTACAAAGTGTCTGAGCCATGCAGCTTCACTGATTTAACATACTACAGCACAAGACCCAGCCATCAGCTGTGCAGCAAATCAGAGAGAAGAACAGATCTATGTAAAAAATTACATGGCAAAGTAAGCTTTCTCTGCAGCTGCTCAACTCTGACGCAGCTCACAGCATGATACCACAAGCAGAACTGACCATGGCACTGCCCTGTGGCAAAACCAGTGTGACTGCCACTGGACACTACACAACATCAAACTGCAGCTGCAGAAACAGAACAGATAAAAAGGGGAAAAAACGCAAACCAAACCAAAAGCGAGCATAGAACCAGATGATGGACTTGACTTCCCCAAGAAGGAAAAACAAGGCATGAGTGACAGCCACCACACAAGGTTACTCAAGTTTCTTCCATAATTGCTGGATCTTCCATAAAAATATTGCACAATGGTGAACAGTTAACATTATTTTTTCCAACCAAGAACATTTTCTGAAGGCAGAGATCCCATTTTAAAACAAAGAGCTCCCATTTCAGCTGGCCTCATACTTAAGCCATCATATAGTTAACTATTAAATACCCACAACATCGTCCAACACCTACCCTTTAAAAAACTAGTACTTTTCAGTTTCACCAGTAAGCACTGTTTAGGTGCTAACATCGGCACATCCAAGATCAGTAAGCAAAGTGTTCTCAACAACCACCAGGATTCCATGGAAAGCTTTTAATTACATGCAGCAATGGTTCTACAACGGAATCCCAACCCAACACAGAGCCAGGAGTCGCTCTGGTTAATAGTGGTACTGGCCACGACTCTTTTCTGATAATGTAAAGCGTGACGATGCCACCACTGCTTTTGATTAAGCTTGGTTTTTAAAAAAAAAAGTAAAATAATTTAAAAATAAACAGATCTTCATAGGTATCAAATTGGTTCTTGTATCAACAGGTCTAAAACCTTGTCAGATGTAAGAGGGAGGGGGAAAATAGCATTACAGTGTTATTTTAACAACTAAAAACAAGGGTTAGAAAGTAAATATTGCCAGTTTAAAGTCTGTCATTCCTCAAAAACACACTATGGCCTACCCAGTCAGGCCCAACTATTAAAACAGAAATACATATATTTTTAAAAAATACATAATTGGCACCATTCTAAATCCTGCAAGACAGGACAGGAATGTCACCCTTCCAACAGATCACCCACGAACTTCTCCTTCAAAGACTGACTAGAGTAACTGTGTTTTGCTCAGCCACCTTGGTTTAGCTTCAAAAATAACCAGATGATGCAGTTTCACAAACAAGTCACTCACCTCTTTAACCCAGTTCTTCCTGATACACAACATTGTTTCCTTTACAAGAATCCTTTTCATCAAAACTTACAGTGCAATGTTTTCATACCAAGTGTAAATTCTCTCTCCTTATGTCATCTTTATATTTGAATGTTTGGGAATGTTTTTTCATTTTTAATTATAGGTGAAATGAGCCATTCTATACAGTAACATTCCCTTCAGGGGACTCCTCCAGCTTACTAATTACCTTATGGCTCTTCTCAGCACTTCTTTATATGAAAATCACAGCCACAGTCTTTCCTCTAAAGATCTGGTAATTCAGCTGGAGTACCACTCTAGTTACAAGGACACCAATGCCTAGTACAGTGCTGTGGAAGAACCCTGGATAAATTTTCTACACTTCCCTTCCTTCAGATGTTTGCACTAAAAGATAATTCACATACACACAGAAAATGACCTTGCACTTTCTTTTTGTTTGTTGAAACCACATTTACAGAGTTTTTCTGCAAGCCAGCAGAGCCTCCTCCCCTAAGGAAACTCCATATACATGCCCTAGACTCTAAAAACCCCAAAGTTATAATGCCAATCTCGTTCTATCCTCCTCTGAAGGTCCCTCGAGTGCATGTGTACACTGACTACCTCCAGCTCCCTCACCTGCATCCCAAAAACTAGCCAGGCACGTGGCAACAGACGCTGTGGCTGACCCTAAGCTTGGTGCCACCTGAGCAGCCAGGATGCCAAACTGAACTGGCAGCAGCCCAGTCCCCCCTGGGATGCCCATCCCACAGTGTGGGCACTCATGTGCATCCCCCTCTTCTGTGACGCTCATCCCATCTCCCAGCCTGTCTCTCTTTCTACTACATCTGCTATTCTGCAAAAATTATAAATCTGTGTTTTGTCTTCACAACTGGACACATCGGCAAAGAGCGTTAATTAGCTGAGTTAGAACTAAATCATGCCATCATCACTGCTATGTCCAGGTGTAGTAATGTTATCAATGGGCATAGCCTGGAAAACACCTGTTTTTCAAGAACACTTACATAGCAGACCTGTCCTTCAAGTTTTTTAATCATATAAACCCTTTTCTGTATTACTTAAGAAATAGTAACCATAGGGGATATTATTATGTGCAAAATACTGACCAACATAGAAACAAAATGATCTTTTTATTCCAAATTTTCACAGTGTGTGTGTACTGAAAATAACCTATTTGATTAATAAAGAATAAAATGACACTCGAACTTCATTTAAGACAGGCTTTCACAGGTTCCACTGCAACTCCAAAACTTTAGTTTTGTTTGTGTATCGTATCTTCCACATACATTTGCTCTTTTTAATGCCATCTTGATAATAGGGTTACCTATAGCTGACAGCCTAATTCATATTTTAAGTCTCCTATCCAGTTCTGCAGAAACTGCTGAAAATCAGCTATTACAAATGTCATTTGCAAGTCCTTTGCCTGTTATCAGATGAGCCCCAACAGTCAATTTCCTCACAGCTTTGAACTTCCCTCTAGCTCCAGATGAATTAACGTGATCCTAGCCATTCAGCCAATACTACTGATTTAATAAGAGATACGCCTGAAGGGGATGATAACCTGGTTTGATCTGGTCTGTATAAATGAAACTAAACTGGACCAGGCCACATTAAAATCCAGTTTAGAAGCAATCATTGTTAAATTATACTTTGAGCTATACCAGGGAGAATTGAGTCCATGTTGTGTCCATTTTCAGCACAGAGCCCTCTACACAATGTCATACGTCTATACCGAGTGACTTTCAAACACATTTTCATGAGAACACAGCAGACAAATGCTACCCTCAGTATGCAGTGCAGGGTTACTCCCATAATAAACACATTTTCATGTTCTAACCTTCAGGGCAGTGACTTCCATCTAACATAGCAGGCAACATTAATTTAGTCAGTGCCAGTTAAACCTCTCTTGCCTTTGGACTGAAAGAGAAACGAGAGCAGGAGAGAAAGAAATACGGGTTTCCATACTGGGAAACACAACTTCAAGCTCTAGGCAAAGGTCTCACCTGCTTTGCAATTTCATCCTTATTGCTACTGCAAAATGGGACAAATTGTTGCATGACCCAAAGCAGCCAAAATGTAGTTTTCTTTCCACACCTAAGTTATCTCACATTCAATAACCCACAAAGAACTGAGGGATTGTTGTCACGTTGAGAAGTCAGACTCCTAGGACAGCCCTAGGAGGGTATAAAACCTGGCATCTAGCTACTTAGAACAGGGTCTTGCTATTTCTTTAAACCATGCAAGACAAAAAAGATGTGAGTCACAACACTCGTGTGTCATAACAGCGATTCATAAATTCACACAATGCATTTCATCACACTTCCAGAGAAGCAGGAAGACCTTTCCTGAAGGCTGGGCAAAGCCTGTCCCAGGCGTTAACACACCAAAGGAACAACCGGTTCTTGAGTGGCTCAGAGAGCAAATTCAGGATAAGGACGCTGCATCCCCACGCAAGCAGGGACAAACACTTTGTGTTAATCCCAGGTCGCATCACCACAGCCTGCGGTCCAGGAACTTGCCAGAATCCTGCTATATTCCTGCCCTGTTCGTGCACGGCCTTGGGCAAGCTATTCGGCTCCTTGTGCCTCAGTTCCACAGCAGCTAAAGGGGAGGGCAAAGTTATTTCCTTATTTCTGAAAAGTAGCAGCTGCACTGAGACACCACGGCACTGGGGTCAAGGGAGCGTGTGCCTTCGGGGGGAGTCACCTTATCGGTCGGGCCTGGCGTGGCCTGTGACCCCGCCGAGAGCAGCGCCCCATCCGCTGCAAAAACCTGGCAGCCCCGG